TGTGCTTTAATTGAGATGCTTTTGATGAATTCCATAACTGACTGCTTGATTCACAAACGAGAGAATTCTAATCTGTATTGGCATTATCTTAGTCGTTGGAGAATCTCTATTTATATTTCCAGTGATAAATATTTGTCTAATCATGGCTTATCCTGTGACTTTCAAGTTATGATTTTACTGCAAATTCTTTTTTCTTTCAAACACCTCACATCTCAAACTAAACAAAGACATCACCGAAATCAATGCATCAAATATTATCAAAATACTAAAACACATACTGACAGTTTGCTTCACGTTTTCTTGTGTTGCATAGCCTTTTGTTGAGAACGCATATACAGTATGTCTTTAGGTTGTGCCTGAACTAATTCAAAATCCTCTAGGATATATTGTTTGCTATACAGATTAGCTTTTGAAATACAATTCTTGGTTCTTGTAGTGATTTTATGCTCATAGTGGTAATTATATATATATGGGACACGCTAAAAGTGATGAGACTGTCACACAGGTAAAGGGTTCTGATGCTGCTACTGCGATGGGAGCTGAGGCAGCAGTTTATGCTGCTGAAGCTTCAGATGCGAATGATTTGCTGGAAAGAATTCTTCCTGCATCAGTTTCTGATTATGTTGATCTAGTTAAAGCTCATATAGAAGCTGGTGAGCCCGGATTTTTTTTTGTATCTCAAAACATAGACGTTTTTATTTGGGATATACCTTCTGCTAACGGTAATTTTCAGGACCAAATCATCACTTTGCTTCGAGGCAGCTATTATTGCTGGGCACAATGCTTGATTTCTCTGATGCTATGCTCCACAAGACCGCAAGTGCTTTTGTCCAGGAGCTGCTCCACAGACCTTTTGAGCAAGAATTAGATGAAGATGGGAACAGTATTGTGATTGGAGATGGTATAAATCTTGGTGGTGATAAAGATTGGGCTAATGCAGTGTCCAAGTTAGCTAAGAAAGTCCATGCTGCGCCTGGAGAATATGAAGAGGTTATACTTGTTGTTGTTGAAGAACTAGCAAGACCCTGTAGGGAAAGGACTGCGGATTTCCTGCAGTGGATGCACATGCTTTCTTTGACAAGTCTTCTCTTGGAAAATGGAAAATCTGTGCATTCACTGCAAGGAAAGGCTATTGAACCAGAAGAGATATTGCATGCTTTGTTGCTTCCAGGGGTATATTTTCTTCTCTCCTCTATTTATTATTGTCATATTTCACTGCTTAGGGGCGCCACTGGTTTTATTTTTTTATTTTCTCTTGAATTTTGACTTTGAAACTATCAAGCAGCTTATTTATCCTTGTCAATTTCCATTTAAGATGCTGATATTCCATATGATCTCTGCATTCTTTTGTTTCATTTAAAATTGTCAAAAGGTGTCAATATTTTTAAGGAAACAGCTGATCATACAGTTTAATCTCTTTTGCTCTTTTGCATAAAAAGCTTGGTACGAAACACTCTTTCTGATATGATTCATGTCATGCAGGCAAAGCACACTCACTTGGATGTGCAAAGGATTGCTATAAAGTGCCTTGGTCTTTTTGGTTTGTTAGAGAAGAAGCCTAGTGAAGAGCTTGTTAGGCAGCTACGGGCAGCTTTTTGTAGAAGCCCTCCTCCTATTAGTATTATGGCTTGCAAGGCACTAGTGGATCTTGGGATGTGGCATAGCCCAACAGAAGTTGACAAGGCACTGGGAGAAGATCTCTTGTCACAATTTGAGGATGAGAGCATTGATTGTGCACCCATCGACTTATCCAATGACGAAGAAGATATGAACTTTAAAATGCTTGATCTCTTGTATGCTGGACTTGAAAGTGATGACTGGAGAGCATTCACAGAGAGTAGTGAACATGAGTCGGTTAAAGCAACTGTTGGGGAGGGGTTTGCAAAACTTCTTCTTTTAGGAGAGAAGTACCCAAGCTTGCCTGCATCTTTTTATCCTTCAGTTTTGGGAAAGCTGATTGCATTATATTTTAGCGAGGAGTCAAAAGAACAACTGAGGTATAGAGATTTTGTTTAAATTGGTAACTTTTCTCACCAAATCTAATACTAATGATTTGTTCTTCTTAATCATTTTCCAGGTTTAAACAGTGTTTATCTGTCTTCTTTGAGCACTATGCTTCCCTCTCGGAAAAGCATAAGGTAATAGAAACCATGATGTCCTTAAGAGCAAGAGGTTAAATGGTATGTTAGTATAACACTGCTGAATGATTTTTCATGCAATGCAGGGATATGTGTCAAAGGCTTTTGTTCCTCTCATACGCTCAATGTGGCCTGGTATTGATGGAAACTGTAAAAGTTCGTCATATGTTGTATCAAATCAACGCAAGCGTGCAGTCCAAGCATCCAGATTTATTATACAGATGATGCAAACCCCGTTATACAAAAAAGAGGCGAGAGGTGAGCCTGAAAGCCAGTTCGATAAATCACCAGAAGATTCTGTCCAGCCTTTACTAAACTTTACTGAAGATGGGTTAGCCATACGCATAGCCATCGAGGTTAGTTGCTTTCCTTAGACGTCTATAGTATCATATTTTCCTCAAGATCCAGGAAAGTTTAATCGAGAGTTAAGAAAGCATAGACCTGACCAAAATTCTCTTGTCCATTAATGTGATAATAGAGAATAGTTTAACTTTCACTGTCACAATGTCTTTTGCCTTTCTAGTTAGTTGAGAGCAATCATCCACTCAAGATGTCTGTAACACTGGTTAACCCGTTTGCTAATATTGTTTGCCATAGATGCTTAGCTTCAAGGAAAAAAAGACTGCTGCTGAGAAGGCATATGTTGCAGCACTGTGCAAAATACTTGCGCTGCTCCATCTGAAACCATCAGAACAAAATGTGATAAAGTTGATGAAAAACCTCTTAAGCCAACTTGCAAATTCAGTATGTTCAGAGAAGGAGCTTCTGAAGGACGTGAATCCGATCCTTGAACATCTAACACCTTTGGATGTTTGTCCCAGCGAGAAGCTTACACAAGATCAAGCAAATTCCATCTTTGGTAAATTGATATTTTGCCTTGTACATTACAGTTTAGTTTAAGTTACAAGTAAAACTAGGATGGTTAAAGTTATGTTGGAGTCTATTGTGTCTTTAGAGATTTGATTGTTTCTTTCTAATGTCAAATTACAGAAACACTCGGAGTAAGCTACAACTTGGAGATCACTGCAACTACAACAGTGCCACAGACACCAGCTCCTTGCTCAAAAAGACCACCCCAGTCAAGAAGACGAGTAAGTATTGAAGAAACTTCATCTGACGAAGAAGAAGAAGTAGCATCTCCTCCACCTTCTGCTTTGATGAACCGATCACACCGAGCAAGTAAAGCTGCTGCTTTAGCCAAAATAACGGCAAGCAGAGTGAAAATGAGCAATGTAGATGAAGATGATGAGGAAGAAGAAGGTTCATCTGATGTTACAGCAGAGGATTCAGATGAATCTGATGAATAATTGTAGAGAGTGAGTTAACTTACGGATTCGTTCTCTTGTTTGTACGTCTCTTACCAAGTCAATGTTCTGTTTCTTTTATGGTTGTGAAAAGATTGTAAACAGATCTTCTTGTAAGTTGTAACAAATCCCTTGCTTGTTATGTGATCTTAGACCATCTCCAATGGTTTTTGCTATTTTTTCCTCTATTATAGAGGTGACTTTTGCTTCAATGGTTTCCTCTATTTTTTTTCTCTATAATAGAATATTCCACATAGATTCTTTTAAAATTTTAATATTAACACCGTCTATTTATAAAAGTTGCAAATTAATCCATTTACTTTAACTTTTATAATATTTTAATAAAATAATTACTTTTATTTAAATTAAACATTTATTATAAAACATCATATTATATATTATTTTTTAATTAACAAGTACATCACATTACATAAAAAACAATAAGATACTAGATTCTTAACCATCAGCAAAAGTGTATTTTTCCCATTGGTGGATCCGGATGTAATTTAGGAGAATATTAAGTAATTTTTTTGGTATTAAAAGTATTATTATGGAATAAATGAAAAAATAAAATCTTTTTTTCCTTCAATAAAAAGAAAATCTATTATTTATATATATTAACTTTTGCAAATGGTAGTCTCAAATTTTAGAATATATATTTATATTAAAACCTTTAAAATATTTTATATTATTATGTTATTAAATATATTTATTCTATTTATTTTGGTCATAAATAAAAGAAGTTTGAGATTAAAAGGACTATTTTGCAAGAAAATAGTTCACCTCTATTTATAGAGGAAAAAATAGAGCTCCTCTATATATAGAGATAAAAATAGCAATCTCTATAATAGAGGTGGATATAGAGGTGGGTTGAAGCAAAATTTGCTATAAAATAGAGTTTAGAGGAAGAAATAGAGGAGGGTTGGAGATGCTCTTAGGTTATGTCTGCGAAAAACTTGGATTTGGAAAAGACAAAGTCTTAACAAAAAAACTAAACACATGTAAAAACCATTGATGAATATGAAAAATGGGAAAGTTGTGAAGTGTGAACTATCCCAATTCCCCAATTTCGTATTTTTTTAACAAAGTTAATGCTATCGTAAACTATTTTTTTGTTTTTTTTTT